TCCTTATAGACAAGCATATTTGGATTTGTAAGTTTGTTTGTTTGTTGTTTAATGCTGCACTCAGCAATATTCCAGCTATATGACGGCGGTCTGTAAATAATCAAGTCTGGACCTGACAATCAGTGATTGACATAATGAACATCGAACCACGCAATTGGGATAAGATGACATGCATCAACCAAGTCAGTGAGCCTGACCACCCGATCCCGTTAGTCGCCTTTTACGACAAGCATAGTCGCCTTTTACGGCAAAGAGCTTCTGTTTGTATAAAGTCCCGTATTGAGGGAAATATGTTATTGTGCAAATACTGCAATGTTATAGGATCTCCTTGTTTCCACATACTGATGTTAAATTGTTGCTAGGTTCGTGATTTTATGACATTCATTATTATGAGGTCCATGACACCATGGATGATGGGTCTATAATGTTGTTTCACTGGATCCATGAAACCATGTGTCAACAAATCTTACATCACTCGGTCCATGACGCCATGGATCCACGATGTTTACGTCAATGGGTCCATGACGCTATGGGTCCACGATGTTCACATCACTTGGTCCATGACGCTATGGGTCCACAATGTTCACATCACTTGGTCCATGACACTATGGGACCATGATGTTCACATCACTTGGTCCATGACACTATGGGTCCACGATGTTCACATCACTTGGTCCATGACGCTATGGGTCCACGATGTTCACATCACTTGGTCCATGATGCAATGGGTCCATGATGTTCACATCATTCACATCAGTGGATCCATGATGCCATAGGCCCACAATGATTACATCACTTGGTCCATGACGTCATGGGTCCATAATGATTACATCACAGGATCCAAGTCATCGGTCCACAATTTATATCTCACTGGCTCCATGACGCAATGACGTCAATGCCTGTACAGCAGTAATCCACTGTAAAACTCAACCAAAACACCTCACCTCACACACAACTCTCCCCTCTCTATCCAACTCCCTGTTGCCAATAGCAACGCCGCATCACCCCCTGAATCTTTCCCACCCTAACAGAAACTCCCATTCCACTGTTTTATACATTAAAACAATTCAAAGTTTTGAAAACATGCCATAAACATTTGGTGTAGCTGGGTTTGTTTCTTTGTTCTTATATTAGCAAAAGTTTCATGACAAAATCGGTGTTTAAAAATTACAGAACTTAAAATAAATGCAAATTAAATTTTTCTGTTTTTAAATTTGGAAGAAGAAAACGTGAAAATGATACCCTTGAAAAAAGGCCATCGCAGTTACACAAACTCTCCAAGTTTTTCCAAACATTCCCAGCCGTAAGTATTTCTCAAGACCTCGACTTCGTTTGTGTAATGTTTCCTTAGGCCCTATGATGTGATAACACGTGATAACACATCAGTGATGCTCATAGCAGATGTCAGTTTCACCCAATGACAGACAGGCATGGCATGTCAAAGACGGATAATACTGTTAACACATGACCATGTTTCAACAAAGAAATCAACTACATTTCAGGAGGGGGAATTCTGCTCATTTCAAATGATGAACGTCAAAGTCACAACACATTGTTCTTAGTAATATTTTAATAGAATGATATTTTTTTTATGAAATATTATTGTGATATCCAAAGTATAACTTGGTCAAATGCCTTTTTTAAAAAGGAACAGTAAGACCTCCGCCCGTATCCCCCCAAAAAAATATATTTAAAAGGATTGAGCGGTGAGGCGAGAGTATATAACTTTTGGAGGGGGGATATGGGCGGAAGTCTTTCCAATGAAATAATATTCTTTGTATCATATGATAAATAGAATTATAGGTCATTGACATAAGACCCCTTCAAAAATTCATGCTTTTGTACATGCTTTTGTGTTACCATGGTTACATATATGTTATTTCTGCATGATAAACGATGATCATCATGAGTTTCAAAATAAATTTGAATATGGTCCCTTCGACTTAGGCCCAAATATAACCTCTCTGAAAAAACATAATTGGCAGTTGAAACGAGTTTCCTGCTCTGAAAGATTATAAATGGTTTGTCCGTAGCATAATGCAACCATTTCACCCAGTAGTCTAGATGGACAATACCAGATGGTGGCACAAACAAAAGGAAGGCTGCGGGGATGGGGGCTCGGCTCCAAATAAGTGTTGGTCAGAATCCAGAAACAAACATGTTTTAGGTGGCCTTACAAAATATGACAAAAACTATTAAAATTCAAAGAACAACCACAAAAGGTTATTGCCAAGACAACCCATCACGGGTCAACAACTTTGACCAGATCAAATGATCAATCAGTTAATCATACAGATATTAAATTGATCAAAATCAATTCAATTAAAAGACAAGTTGATTTTATGGAAGCTTTGTAACTGCCGAGCTCGGCCAAACGGACCATAAAAATGAAAACAAAGGCCATTAAACGGGTGTACTTTTCACAGGGTGGTCTCTTGTCCTAAATTCACAGCCTGATGTTTATTGCGCAATTAACAGGGGGAAAAACAGCTGACTCCAGAGCAATGTACAACCTCCAACTCAATGCCTTGGGTGTCATTACAAACCTCATTAATTAGGCTCTTGTTCATGACAAAAGGTTGGCAAGTAAAGGGAAATTCAATAGTGGTTCCCTTCAGGTGAATTTACTCATAAAAAGGACATGTCCGCCAGGCATAATTTGTCCATGGGTCGTAAATTTCCGAAACAGTCCGTGACAAATATGTCAATGAATCCACCTGTGACTGGTCTTGTGTCATAGAATACCTTGGATAAACTTCATTATTTCATATTGGTGGTATGTAGAAAATATTGAAACCATGATAGAAAATAAACTGAGAAAAGTCAGAGATTCAATTTCTAAAGCGTATATTGATCGGACTTATATTCTTGGCCAGGAGCACAGCCTATATTTAGATCTGTTCCATTTGTAAGCGTTTCAAATGAGATGACATTATTGGTTCGAATGTTCTAATGTCAAACTGAGCAGGATGAATTTTTACCTCAATGATTAAATGTATTATTAATTCAATCAATCAAACTAAATCTCTATATGACAGATACATATCCCATTGACATATTGATAAAAAAATAATAAAAGTAACAATTCCGAACTGAAAACCAACATTGTTACTTTCAGAACTGTCCACATGACAAAAAACTGACAACTTTAAGGATTCAAATAAAAGCAATTACAATCAATCATTGAAATAATAACACTGAATTTTCCTTGTTATAAAAAGAGTCAGATACCCTTCTATTGATGTCTTCGAGACTATGATATTACTGGTTGAAAATATGGATTTATTCAAATTTGACAAGTGATATAATTTGAATATTAGATAATAACAAGAAAGCTAACAATACAATCATCACGCAATTACCGCAAACCAAACAGTACACACACGTTAATCACAATATCAATTTTCTGTTCAGCGCAGAAGTCACCTACTCGTCTCCACACAGCAACATCTTCAGACTTTAATCAATACGAATCTCTCTTATGTTGCAAATATTTCTTGCCACAATCAATTGAGAAAACAAATATTGCCTCCATAACGCTTAACACTAAAAATGCACGAACTTGCTCAAACCAGATTCTGGTTTCTGATTAGATAAATCACCTCCCCAAATGGTACGATTTTTATAACCTAGAGGAATGGCCAAAACTGCAATAATGCATTAAATCACAAAAGAATTCTCTCCGAAGACTTAATCATACAGACACACCAGACGTACCTATCCCTCTGACTTCAGGGATATGAATAATATTTCATCATGTCATTGTGACCTATAGATATATTCCTCTAAGCGTACAGCTCTCTCCTATGCGATAAAAACGTCAACTGGTAATTGCTAGCTTACGGATTCTACACCGCTGTTAATATAGCTCAGTGAATTTGCAGTAACAAACACCAAATGGCATTTGCATATTTATCAATTCTATGAATACGTTATTCCCTGAGCACTGAGTATAAATAACAGTGTTAGTTGTACTATGTTGATGAAAGTATCATATATAACACCCAACGAATGGTCTTGTCACATAGTTCAACAGTGTTCAACCCAACAGACTGCCATCCTTTCAAATCGCCACCACCTGGCAAAGCGAAGGCTACACATATGTAGGCACCTCTAATCCTCTTTGTCCGCTGGATATAACACAATGAACTATTATCATCTCGATAAACTGATTAATTACGTCACGTTGAGTCTACTTTGTATATTATCCAGAAGCATGTGGGATTATGACGTGTATAGTCCTTGGCTAATACTGTAAGAGCATGTAAAATTTGCATCGTGAATTAATTCGTCTGCAACGCGCTCAGACGTTTTCGTTTTGCAAAAGTGTATATATCTGGGTAATACATGAAATATTGTTAAAATTTGTTGAGACGGATTATAGGGCTGAATAACATCCGATTGTGCGGTCAAATGCTATCACTTTTGAAAACCCTCCGTTGAAATTGATATATTAAATTTGTGTTTCGGAATATGAAGGAGATTTGTGATTCTAAATCTACGTAAAATACTAAATCATAAATATATTTATATTTTCATCATTTCTTGAACACCAAACACCACCATTGAGCAAACAAGGGTTATCGTTGATCATTTCAAACTCTTTTTGACAAGTTAAAAAGTTTACCCTTTTAAAACATAAACACTCCGTTTCTTTTTATCTGGAAAATTGTGTCGCCATATCCTCGGCTCGCAGAGACAATATGTGGCATTGAACAGAATCCTGAACAAGTTTGACAGCTGAAACCCGTCAACCTTATTTCTTCAAGACGGGCCATGTTGTCAATTTCGGTCGACTTGAACAAACAATAGCGAACGGGACATATTCGACCGCACAGGGGGGTACTTTTTAGATTCGAGTTGTAGTTTCGCCAAACTTGCCAATACAAGTAGCAAAGCTGTGAAACTTGTAATAACACCACGATTGGTACTTGGTGTTAGTGTAGCAATCGTGGGTTTAAAATGCAAAGCATGCGAAAAGTTATAAAGTAAACACGTACCGACTAGCGCAAGGGCCGTTTGTAGACTCAAGTAAATCCTCATCCACGATGAAACTCCGGTGAGTTTCTCAGCGAAGCAGTTCGCCATTTTGCGCTACCCTTGCAATCCACGTAACCTTCTAGTCCTGTTATAGTTTAAAATCCACATATGTACAATTTCACGTGCATATATCCTCTCAAAACACACAAACAAATGACGGGAACAGTGCTACATCGTCCCTTCGCTCGAGCTACATCGCCATGCAATGCTTTGAATAGAGGTTGGGTCAGTATTCCCATATAAGGAAAGGTCACGGGTCAGAGTTCAACGCGGCCTCCATTATTTGTAAAGGTCGGTGGTTATTTTTAGCGCAGAGCAATTTGCATACGGTAAACACTCGCTAGAGGGCGCTCACTGCAAGGAACATGCGCCGCTGTCTGCTGGCTGTCAATCATCGGGAGACAATGAAAGTGAGACAGGGAGTCTTGATTTTTATTGTGAAGATGTCCAATTTAAGAATTGTGCACGATTGCGTGGAAACAACGGGCGGCTTTGTGATACAGGCGTCTGCTGTTACGATATCGATGTACTTGGTCTCTCAAGTGACTCCTCGCGTCCAGAGTTACGAGACGGAAGTTCTGTTTTCTCATCACAGTGTTCTAACGGTTGCAGGTCAATACACATTACCGGCGAGTTAGTCTCGATCAGATGTATATTGCGACATGGGCTGTGTGAATGATCAGGAATGCTAATATCTGGCATCGCCACTATCATCATCATCATGAACATTATCAATATAATAATAATAATCATCATCAGTAATACGAAAGCGGCGTTTAACCCAACCCAATCACGCACTCAATAATTTCATCATAAGTAATATATCACCATCAGCATCTGTTATGATCATTATTTCAGCCGTTATTTATATCAATTTCATCATCATCATCATCATTACTATTATTATTAGTAGTAGTATCATTATTTTTAGTATTATTATTATCATTATTATTATTATATTATTATTATTATATTATTATTATTATTCACTTTGTGAGACTGATAGTGTAGCCAGCCAATATGCAGCATCTATACAATCCTATATTAATGAGGTCCACAGACGTTGTATTCATGGCGTCACGTTCAGGTGGAACGACGTACAGACTCATTCTGATGGCCCCGGGCAGTGTCCATAGTTTCTGCCACTTCAGCTAAATTGCACTTTCATTTTCCCTTAAGGTTATTTTGATGTTTAAAAGGATTATTTCATTCAACCATTGGATGTCAAGTACTCTTCTCAGCTGTGTTATGTTAGCCCAAAGGCTAGTGCGTTGTCCCGTGTCACGGAAAACCCAGTTCGAGTCCCGCATTGAAACAAAGCGCCAAAGAGAGCCTTCGAGCGATACCCAAAGGCTGGAAGACCTAAACTGACCTAAATTCGCCCGCCCCTTCTTTTGAAATCCAAATATAGCATGTTTGTAGGCAATAAAATTGACTGAGAGAGCATTTTGATATTTTTAACCCTTCCCTAATAATGCTGGACCTTCCGCTTAAAAAAGCAGCGCTTGGACTGAGGATTCGATGACTACCTTTAGTGCCAATTGTTTTCGAATCCAGTGCCGAAAACCCTACACAAAAGAAATGAATAAATGGTAAACATTTCCTATGCACGTGCACACCACTATGTCTCAACCTAATGTCTACGTACTTTTATGTAAATACTAATTGTTGTTCTGATAATTAATATTAAATTATATGTGGCACGTACACAAATTAATTGTCCATGCTATCTGATCCAACTCGCATTTCCTATACAAGAAATTTGTATATCTATAAATTTCGTGGTTCCGGAAACTGTGGTATTACATGCATAGGTTTTAATTAACAATAAATAGGTTGTTTAGTTTCTGCCCGACATATGGACTTTATTCCCTATTCCACTGTACTCGAAGAACCTCATAAAGTCTCTTCATTTAAATATAATTATACCATTGCACCAGTGGTTTTGCCGTCTCATTTCTACTTTATTAACTCAATTACTGCAGCGTTGAAATATACACCGCGACTGTCCGGCTCAGTGGGTGATTCCATTTCAACTAAAGGGATGCCAGCATACTGAATGTGGAATCATCCCATCATGTATGCAGAGAAATAGACGAACATTGTCTATAGAATCTTTCATTGTACAATACATTTCAGTCTTTAAAAAAGAAATAGACACATAGTCTATGGAATATTTTATTACACAATAAATGTCTGTTTTCAAAAAAAGAAATAGACAATCATAGTCTGTGGTTTGTTTTATCATACAATAAATTACGCTCTTTTTTAAACTAATATTTTCTAAAGCTGATTTAATCGTGGACAAGCGAGCAGATTTTTCTGTTGTTATGATCTTAACTGGTTTACTCCATATATCGTGCTTGTTCCGAAATACGGAAGAGTCGACATATGATCGAAGATACCGTCTCATTTTCTCTTATTTTGCCACCAGCGAATAATTTTGACAGCAACATATTAAAAAATACCGGATCATGTGATAACTGCTGCACCATATTAACACGGAACAATATATACGTTTGTATGAACGCGATCCACATTTCTAAAGTTGGCGCAACTCGGAGAAAAATGGACTCGGCCATGCTGCTATCAGCTGTTACGTCAATATCGGCTCCGGCAATTTACTCAAGCGCGTGTCAACACCAAGAAGACGAAATCAGCGGCAGTTTGTATCTCGCAGATCAATTAGGAAGAAATATTACGCAAGATTTACAACGTTAAGTGCATGTGTTTGATACCTCGCGATGCACGAATTCTCTAATCTGTGCCGCGGTGCTCGCCGTCTCTGCAATGGGACGCCATGGCACGTCTTGTCAATTTCACACTTTTCACCCAAGGGACGATACTCTTGCGTCACGTGCTGCACGTGCAACGCGTTGAAAGCTCGCACCGCGGGAAAAGGCAGCTGTAATCAAATCCCGATGTCACGCATTGGAAATCGTCACTGTCAGGAAATAGACGTAAAGTAAATAAGCGGACGTGTGTTTGAAGGCTGTAACATCTTATTGTGGTTTTACTGATGACTAACTTGCTAAATCAGAATATTATATTTTAAAGACAAACGTCAGTCATACTTCACATTTTTCGATTTGCAAATACAATAATGGCATGTGAAGTTCGAGGCGTTTTCGTTGTCTTGAAAAAAACGACACCTCAATGACGTGTGCGTAAATAACAGGGAGACAATCCCGGAAGTGTCATTGATCAAGTCTTGAATCTCAATGTGAGTTGACACGTGTATGAAATTTATTTGTCATGGACTACAAGTTACAATAACCATGAAAATCCGGGTTACAAATGGTCTTCAGCAACCCATGCCTGCCGTAACAGGCGACTAGCGGGATCGAGTGGTCAGGACCATGTTCTACAAAGCGGTTACCGTTACGACTGTCGTAAGTCGATGTTGAAACTATGGGAGTTACGATCGCTTTATGAAGCGGGACCCAGGCTCACTGACTTGGTTGATGTATATCATAGTATCCCAATTGCGTAGAACGATGCTCATGATGTCAATCACTGAATTGTCTGGTCCAGACTCGATAATTTACTGACCACCGTCATAGAGCTGGAGTATTGCTGTTTTTGGCGTAAACCCACGTATCTGTCAAGGTGCGCTCGAATCCAACAGTGACAATGTTGGTCGCTGACCCCGAGCCAAGTGGGTTTCCGGGTTAGAACAGGTTGCCATGCATCAACCTATTCTTGACGTAAGAGGTGACTAACTGGATCGGGTGGTCAGACGCATTGACTTGTTTGATCCGACATCGTGGATCGTTGCTCACAATATCAATCACTGGATTGTCTGGTCCAAACTTATATATACGGTAGTTGCAATGTTGCTGAGTGCGGCGTCAAATAACAAACACACGTAGTCACTCACACACACACACACACACACACACACACACAGAGAGAGAGAGAGAGACTACCCCATGCATAGTGGGCAAGGGTGGTAGGGTAGCGTAGTGATCGAATCGAATCCCCACATGGGTACAACGCGTGAACCCCATTTCGACGTGATATTGCTGGAATATTGCTAAATGCGGCGTAATAACCAAACGTACCCATTCACTTATTTTAGTGGGCTCTTGCACCGTTCCACACTCGATTATAAAACAGGAATATAATATCAGTGATATAAACAAGATCGACTGAATTTTATTATTATAGGGACTAAAATAAATTACAATTTCGTTCTTTCTTTATCCGTTAGACCCGTCTAGATGTGAGAATGTTCTATTTCGATCTGGTATAAAGGTAGCCACAGGCACGCAAGAAACATGAAAGGAACTTGAAACATCACCTATCCTATAAAGGGGTTCAACTGTTTGTAATGACAGTATAAACAATTTATATACACGGGAGTAACCGACGTGTGTTCAACACTTTAGTCAACACTGCCGACCCTTTCAATATGCCCGGGGTGACTGAACAGCAAATATTGAATATGTTACAAGTGTTTCCAACGATGACACTTTAACACACTGCGCCAACAGACAAATAACAGTTCGGCAATACGCCATCACATCTAATGTAAACATATACCTACGATATGGTCTTACCACACCGCAAAAAGGGCTCGGTTAGACAGTGCAAGGAGCTTTTCGAGTGGTACTTATGCTTGTCTGGTATTCTTGTCATAATCAAAACTCTCATCTGTGCGTCGTTTCGACATTAACGTAGAAGTTTGCCGGGGGTGTACATATGGGTTGCTTGTTATCTGTGCTGAATTCTTTTGCAGAAAGTGTCATTTTTTGATTGACTGGGCTCCTGTTTACCTTAAGTATCATTCGTCACCACTCGCCCCTTTCCGTCACCACTCGCCCCTTTCCGTAACCTGCAAGAAGACTCGTCCCCGAATGTTATGTGCGAAAATACGACAAACCAATCAGAATGCGCGTATGATTTCAAGTTCTTCGTCAAAGAATCCCTCGGAAATAATTTTTGATTTTACATATGTCATGCATCTATAAATATACCCAAGACACAGTTAAATGTGCTCAATCATACTGTATAATTTCGCATGTCCAGATGTGCTTTAAATTGCATCTGAAACATATATAATATATGGGGAAATATATGTGAACCATTACGCAACGAGTTGACAAATGTTTTAGGTATGCCCGTTTGCGCTAAGACGGAGCCCGGTCGCAAAAATGGCCACGAGAGGGACACGTGGCTTTTCGGCTTGTCCCGGAATAACACGAGTTGGTCA